GGCAGACAGGGTGCAGGAGGGCACGGGGGGCCCCAAGGCTGCCGTGCCCCCGCTCTGACCCCGTCCCTGCTCCCTCTGTCCCTCGCAGGGATCCCGCGGCCGCCGCAYCCCCCCGAGCTGCCCCCCTATTACCCGCTGTCTCCCGGAGCCGTGGGGCAGCTCCCGCACCCGCTGGGCTGGCTCGTGCCGCAGTAAGGATGGGCTGAACCCGGGCTGGGCTCCCTGGAACCCCCACCTGGGACTGGCACCCTCCTCCTCCCACCTCATCCCCTTCTCCTGCGAGCGCTGCAGGACGCTGCGGGCTCCYGTGGGAGGTGGGAAAGGAAGGGGCTGGAAAATTTGGGAATCTTCCCGATGGAAATCAGCTGGAAACCAGTCCAAGGGTGCCCGTGAACTGGGAAAGGATCCCTTTTTTCCCCTGAAACGGGTGTTTTTGTAGGCAGGGACAGCCCGTGTACTCCATTCCTGCTGGTGGCTTCCGRCACCCCTATCCCGCCCTTGCCATGAACGCCTCCATGTCCAGGTGGGTCTGGGGGTTAGGAGGGACCCTCAGGGGCACCCCACAGCTGGCACTGGGTTTGGGACACTTTGCTGCRTGGGCACAGACCCMYCCCAGGCTGAAAATGCCCCCAGAGRGTGCAGCTGGTCCCTACAGGTGGAGSAATGGGATGTCCCATGGGCTCAGGGCATCGTTTGGGGTGGTCASTGTCACCATCTCAAAGCTGGGGTGGGATCTGGGGGCTTTCGGGAGGATTCGGGGTCTCCAGCTCAGCTTTGGGGGTTGCAGTGTGAATTTGGGGTTTGCTGAGTGAATTTATGGATTGCAGTGTGGATTTGGGGCTTGCTGAGTGAATTTGGGGATTGCAGTGCAGATTTAGGGTTTGCAGAGTGAGTTTGGGGTTTGCAGAATTGAGTTTGGGGATCGCAGTGTGAATTTGGGGATTGCAGTGTGCATTTAGGGATGTAGTGTGGATTTGGGGTTTGCAGAGTGAGTTTGGGGTTTCCAATGTGGATTTGGGGTTTCCAGTGTGGATTTGGGGTTCCCAGTGTGGATTTGGGGTTTGCAGAGTGAGTTTGAGGATTGCAGTGTGAATTTGGGGGTTTCCAGTG